ACTCTTTTTTTGGCATTCAGAAGGCCATTTAGCGGAAATGGACCATAGTTCTATACTCAGTACTCATGCCCCTATGCCATGCAAAAAACCATTTTCAAAAAGCGTACCACGCCCTGAAAGATTTTCCTTGCAGAGGCTGATGGAGTACATCCTTGCATCTCAAAGGCAGCAGACATGAATATTAGCGTGTATTTGCGAAAGATAAGTCTGTGCACAGAAAAGGCAAAACTAAGGACTAAAGGTGATAAAGAGATGGTAAAAGATGATACAAGATGATAAAACGCACTTGCGTGCCGAAAATCGGGCCAGAAGCATTACTGTCTACTATTTTTGCCTCAATATCTTGCTATAATCATTTTTCTTTGGGTAGGAAATTTTCTTTGGGTAGGAAATCGAAGTAGAGTTGCAGCGATCAGGGAGACTGATATGTGGCATATAAAAAGATTGACTTTGCTTCGGACCGTTTTTGATCGATTGATTCCTCTACGTGTTGGCTAGGGTTATGTTGCTTAGCACCTGGACATGCATTGAAACAAATAAGTAAACATTAGTGAATAGAATATAAACAACAGTGGGAAGATCTAGACGAATAGGTGAGACGAAAATGAATGATCCGGACGATTTCTTGAACAAGTAAGAAACACTCGAATCAGTGAGGTCTTACGACAGCAAAATGAGCAAAACTGGATATACCTCATATCAATAGATGAAGTTCCACCATTGAAATGCCAATGGTGCAATGAAGCACCGCCCTCTAATTGTAAGTTTGTACTTCAGTCTCTGATGTTTGCTACCTTACGGTGACACAAATTTTAGCAACCTTTTTAGGAGAATGGTGATGTGGTGAGTTCGGCTTGTGAAGTAAACGCAATTTGAACTGCTATACGTAGTACAGTTATTATGCATACTCACAACGGTGGCCAAAACAATGGCCAAATGTAGAATAAGCAAAATCGTCGATGTGTAAAGTGTATGATAATGTGTAGGCACGGCATAAAATAAGCAGTGTTGCAACATCACTTCACTGAAATTCACCTACATAAATCAAGAAGGGAAAGTATAAAGCGAGAGTAGATGGTAGGCATCGAAGCAGACGCTCATTGGAGTTCATAGACGTCAAACGTGATCACAGTTGTTTTGTGCAATGCCAACAATTATATACTTCCGAGCAACTGGGCTCTTCGAGAATATGGATAGACTAGAGACATTGGCTTCCCTTTCTAATCAATGTGGATGATCCAACGAGCTCGAATGCTTTAGATAAAGCTATGCTTTTCTGCCATGCATATACCTCAAATGGAGTTCACGTCAAAGACTGTCGACGAGATTACTATCCTTTGCTAAGTATCTAGATTAGGACATTCTATACAGACCGTCAATTGATAGATGGTTTTTCTAGCGGAAGCGTGATTGACTCGGAGCCCTAGGGAGAGGAATGCACCAAAGTCATGGATTTTTTCTCCGTTGATCAATGGATAATATGTTGCAAAGGGAAAACATTATCACGCTCTCATTGCTGAACATAGCGCTCTTCATGCTAGACTGGATTGCCATCACTGTTTTGCATTCAATTTTGAAAAGATAGTGGTGAGGTTATGGTAATTAAGTCTCGATAGGTGGCGAAACGCTCACCAATAATCAAGAGAGGCCAAATCCTGCAGAACGCTGTCTGCAATCCCGTCTCGCTTTTCTACTCTACTGCTGCTCATTCAGGATTAGAAATATGATGATTACCTTAAAGGGCCAGCCCTGATTTCATGCTGTTCTGAATTGAAAGCGCCTCCGTATTCTCAACTTATCACCTTGCACACCCTGATGAGCTTTGTTCAGTAAACTATATGACGATCTCGAAGAACAGATTTGTAACAAAAAAANAAAACAGTACGTTTCCAGTGAATTCGAATTCTCTCACGGGGCTATCGTGGTCCCGATATCACTATTGCTATGTTATATACATACTGCGATACGATAATGTATGGACGTAATTCAGTGGCCTCATGTTGGAGGCCCTGGTTAGAAGTGAACAGAATGAAAAGATTACGATACTTTTCGTGGCATTTCCAGAATGTGCCTCTTGTTCTGACGATAATTAGTATATGACAGAAGTTGAAGCCGACAGCGAAAACGAATACAATGATATTAATGAAGCGAGAACCTGGAATCACTGAATGTTGACGATTCTCAACTTTGTTCTATTTCTGGGCTTAGATTGGCGCGCGATTGGAGGCGAACGGATCAGAAACAAATAGGCGGTAGGGCGGTCATACAAAAACGCTGAAGATGAGAGAACAGCGTTTGCGATATTACGGACACTTACTGGGCAGTCACAGAATGATCCGGTAAAGGATGCACTCTGATTTGACAATCAAGGCGAGCGCCCATGAGAAAACTCGAAAAAGAGGTATCCTGACGTGATCAAGACGGTCCCGTCAAAGCTAAATTAATGGCAGAAGAAGCTGTAGATAGAAGAGAACGGAGACGACTGGCAGGAACAGTGAACTTTGCGGCGAGTTGGGTTAAAGGAAGGAAGAAGAAGGAGAGGAGGGAGATGAAGTGGTGTTTTTAATGCGATTGCATCTTATAAAATTAGTTGCAATGGTCAGCCACTGATCTGGGCAGGTATCGGTACGGAACTCGACCTTCAGATCATGCGTAATTAATATGTAGTACGCCGCGTGCCACTACAACGTGTGCGCCCCTACGACTACCCGTTGATATTCTTTCGTTACCAAAGAGGTCTAAGGTGTGGTAATGAAAAACCTGTTGAGAAACATTTTCAACTCACAATAACTAGGTGAAGCAATATGGTATATAACGATAGCAAGAAGAAATAGCTGAAATTCGAAGCATCAGTTGCTAACTGTGGAGATACATACAGTGGTAATTCAATGAGACGGGGTTTTCATGACAAGTGACTTACCTTGTTCTACGATATACCTTTCAGGAAAAATCAGTTCATGGGTAAATACACAAATGTTATGGTACGGCTTATCTCATAAAATTATCACTGTCAGTGGAGCACGCCCATGTCCACGCTTTCAAGAGTTGTTTTCGAAAGAACATTGCTCCTCTGCTAAGCCTGTTTCGCGATATTTTGTTTGCATGCCTTATAGGACCCCAATGATTCGCTTGGCCTCTTGACTCGTTGAAAACTCAGTAAACATTTGGGGTTGTGTTCAATCAACCAAGCTTTACAGCTTATTTTTATTTTTACCACTTGGCCTGCGCACGATATCTTAGCAACACAGTAACCACCCTCTTCCGAAAAAACGAGAAGTACCGTTCTCCCGCCTCAACAAATAGTGTCATAAACCGTCTATCGAGAGCGCGCATTTCTTGCAAACTGCATTTAGCAAGCATTTACATTGATTTATCCATATCTTAACCGAGACAGTCAAAAATTAAAGGAATGACCTTTAAATCACTTACTTTATTGTCTAACCCTTACCATTGGGGAATGCCTGTACTTCACTATAGATGGAATGGGAATTTTTGCGCTTCAATCATTTATCCGCAGCCGTCGAAGTAGGCATTTGCCAGCATATCAATAGACGATCTCGATTGACCAACATATTGTTTGATGAAATTTAGGCAAGAGCCATGATAAGCGAGTCCGAATCAATCAGTTTTTGTGCCCAGTAGGCGGAGTCTACACCTGCTGTCTATCATTAATCTACCCATCTTGCCGCGTGCACTCTACCTAATTTGAAGGCCCCGGGTCTAAATTAACTATTTCCGCGCAAACCCCCACCACAGTGGGCGGAGTATACGCCTTTCACCTACCATTAGCTTTCCCATTTTGCCGCCTACATCTCTGTCAAATTTGATCGCCCCAGGTCCAGATGAGTTATTTGTGCGGAAGCCCGCCCCCAGTGGGTGTAGCGTACACCTGCCACCTGCCACCTGCCATTGGTTTTCCCATCTTGCCGCCTGCAGCTCTGCCGAATTTTAATACTCTGGACCAAGGAGAACAGTAGTAACAGATTTCCGGCGAACTACACTTTTCGCGCACGCCCCGCCCATAGTGGGCGGGGCCTAGCTTGAGTCACGTGTGCCCGGAGAGTCCGGCTCATTCCCCACTCGCTCCAACCTGTCTGAGCTGTTCCAGTTGATTTCTATACGGCGCCATATAAGATAGTTACAGACAAACAGACAAACATTCAAACACAAAAGCAGACAAATCGACAAACAAACGGCATTTGTGGTTTATATATAGTGAGGACTGCTGCTTCATGGAAATGGGAACCTACTGGTTATCAACACTTACTTCGAAAGTCATCTGCGTAAGGTAAAAATTAAGGTCGCCTCTGGTATTGAAAAGACGTTGTGCGAATATTCCCATTAATCCGACGATTACAATGCATAAAATCTGAAAAGGGTATGTTTATGAAATTCCGTAGTTTTGCACTTGACTCTGTTCTTGCGATGTTACATTTGTTTCTGATCACTTAGACTTCTACACATGGCTTGTTCTCACAATTCACTGAATTTTCTTGGTGTTGCTTTTGAAAAGTTCCCTTAACCTCAGCGACACTCCGCAGCGCATTTTCTAATCCGGAAACGATGGGAATGACCGAACCACTGAGAGCGTGCATTCGAGTGAAGCACAGTGATAATAGTGTGATTACGATTCCAAGAAAAAAGGAGTTTTTGTTCTGCTCACTGCTACTGCACCCGATCAAAGCAACAACGCTTGCCTTGAGCTTATTAGCAGGAGTTGAGATCTAGTTTATTTTCCAAGGCTTTTTGTTTTTTTTTTGTTGCTCACATGGGAAGCTGGTAATGATCCAACATGTTTTCAGGGACTCGGTAATATATCGTCAAGAATCACGGTGTTCAGGAAGTACGTATTGCTCGTAAACGGTAAGGCCGTTTAACGTTTACACACTACACATCCATTTCTTAAGGTACCTTCCCCCATTCGACCTACACTTAAAATCGTAGCGGCGGTATGTAAGCGAACATTGCCTATGCAATGACTTGCTCTTGCCAGCTAATGTACATATTAGTACTTTTATCATAGACGACATCCTAGACGAGTCCTGTACCGATTACTATTGATGTACTATTAATCCGCCCGTCAGAAGATGGTAAGCCCCCTGGTCTGAGCGAGTACTCGGGATTCAATCCCTGGACCGTGCTAGTTGATAATGCGCAAGCTGCTTTTACACAACCTTCTTCCACGCTTTGCTGAAAATTCGGACAATCCCCTATTTTGCGATGACAAGTGCAGGGGTGATATTTTCGAATAGTTTTACTCACTTCCAAATGAAGTGCCAGGCTTCGCATTGCTCCGTAGGCTTTCTGCCTTTGCATATACTGCAGCATCATCGTTCTGAGAAAAAATGAGAATTTATTCAGGGATAAATTGCAGACTTAGGCTATCCATCTTATCCGTTATCTGTACAGCAATGGCAGTGAGGCTAATGTCGGAAAAATTGAAAGTGCTGAGACTTCAGAGCCTCAGTTCACGATAGAAATGGTATCTGAGATCCTCTGCTAGAATGAATTTGTGGCCCTAATAATACATGATATAGGGGCCGTTGGACCTAGACAGGGCGCAATATGGGCTCTAAACCGGCTCGGCCGGCGCAGACACTAAAAATGGCCGTGTTGTACCGGTACTGTTATTCTTCGCTATTCACGGGACGGGACGAATAGTACGTCTTGATGAGAGACGCCTAGACAACACCACCTTCAACCCCCTCCTTTCTACTTTACTGTAGTCCCGTATTTCTCAGAACCCAACAATTTCCGCGCTTGCAATCCAACCATCCTTGCACTATTCTGTACCATTATTTCACTTGAAATTGATACCTTAAGATTATCATGAATTAGGGCGTTGAATCGAAATTGTCGCTTCGCGGCGAAAGCAACGTTGCGCATGAAGGAATTTAGCAGAATAAGGCAGTGCGAAAGAAGAATTAGGTCGTAAAGAAAGTTCTTGCGTTTTTGCGCTTCAAACTTCAAATGCACACATCTCGGCTTAAACAAAACTTCACTAATCGAAATAACAACCATTACTATTGACACACTTTTGCCAACGAGAAACAAGCTTATTTATCCCATTTGCATGGAAGTCCGGAGATCTAGAGGCGATGAAGTCGTCGAATGCCGCGGCAGCAACATGTTGGGTTTTGAAGCAATTCTCCTGGAGAAAGCCGTCGAGATGTTTGAAGAAATGGTCTGGGGAGTATGGTGGATGCGGGAGAGTTTCATAGCCTAGGCTCCATCAATTTTCTCAGGGTGAATTGTGCGACGTGGGGCCAAGCGTCGTCGTGGAGTAGAATTGGCCCCTTCCTATTCACCACTGCCGGGCTCATGAACTGGAGCTTTCGATGCATTTTGTTAATTTCTTGACAGTATATCTCGGCTGTTACGGTTTCACCCGGATCCATGAAGCTGTGGTGGATCAGCCCGGCTGCAGACNACCAAACCGGCACCATGACCTTCTTTCCATGCTGCTTCGGCTTGGGAAAATGTCGTGCGGCTTGATCCTTGTCCAGTCATGGGCCTGATCGTCGCCGGTTGTCGTACAGAATCATTTCTCATCACACATCACAATACGGTCTAGAAATGATCGTTCCTGTTGCGGAGAAGCAGGGCGGAGGCGAGCTCGAAGCGGCGGTCTTTCTGGTGCTGAGTCAACCCATGCGGCATCCACTTATCAAGCCTCTTCGACTTCTCGATCTCCTGCATGAGGGTGCCAACCGTCCTGCTGGAAACGTTCAATCTGGAGCCAATATCCTTTAGCGTTGGACGTGGATTCTCTCCCACTAACGTTCTCAATTCTTCGTTGTCAACGGCCGACGGCCGCCCACTGCGCTCATCGTCTTCCAGGCTCTCATCGTCGGTACGAAATTTTTTAAACCACCATTGTGATGTACGTTGATTCGTCGTACCTGGAACAAAGGTATCGTTGATATCCCGGGCCGTTTCCGTCGCAATCCTGCCCAATTTGAATTGAAAAAGAAAAATTGTGCGGATCTGTCGTTTGTCCATGCTGATTTCGACCTTCTAAAAAACCCCAGGATTTACTCCAGGACAAAACCGATTACATATTTGGATAGAGCAAGAAATGCGCTTCAGAATGTCATAAAATTTGCAAAACATATGAAGGCAAATTACACCTAGGCGAGCATTTGAAAATTGGGTGCCAAAAAACGCAAGATTTTTCTTCACGACCTGATACAAGAATCAGTAACAATAACAGCAGAATAAGCACAAAAGCAGCAGTAATAGAAGCACATCCACACCGCAGTCATCATTGATATAGACTACCACATAGGGACATTGACACGCTGAATAACTCATGTTTTAGTAAAATAGTTTCCACCAACTCACTCTGTCATTGCGTGCTCATTCATCATGTGGAGAACACTGCGATCTTGTCGTAGTTCTCTATCCCTCGCGGCAGCATCCATAAGAGCTCGTCTTCTCACTTGTTTTGGGCATTTATCACATTCAATTGAGCATCGATGCTCATTTTGTGCCTGGCGCCTCGATGCGTTTTTTGAAGTTCTTCTTCGCGACGAGTGTTTCCGCCTTGATTTCCTTGAACGGTCCGACTTTGACAAATTTCGGCTTCTTTTAGATCTGGAAGATCGTTCTGAACGATCCGACTTAGGAGGGCGGCGGCTTTTGCTGGAACGAGAAGACCTTTCTGAACGATCCGATTTCGACGGACTACGGCTCCTTCTAGAACGGGTCGATCGTTCTGAACGACTAGACTTTGATGGGCTGCGGCTTTTCTTCGATCTGCTAGATCGACCGCTACGCTCAGATTCGGAGCGCGATCCCTTGCTCCTGAAATCAGCTAGATTATTCTTAGTTCACTAAACTAGATTATTCTCAGGTCCACTCCAACACTCACTCCTCTCCATTAACCTACCCAGGTAAACTGAGTAGGGTAATGGAGAGGAAAGAGTATTGGAAAGGAGTGAGTAATAGAGAGTGAGGTGGGTACCCCAAAACCGTGATTTTGATCTGTACCCCCATCGTGCTATTATGTGAGGTCGGGTACCCCNAGCTGCACTCTAGCCATCAGTGTTGGATAAAAGCGATGCTTTCTCCCCCTCCTAATTACATTTTCTAACTGCTTTGTAAAAGTAACGAATGAGGCCCGGCATAAGCAGGGCTACCCGACTATCCTAAAAAGACAGGGAACGAGTTATGATGATTATCATCAAATACCACTCTGGCACAATTCTCTCTACAACAACACACCTGCTGGCCTTCAAGCTGCAGCCGCTCGTTGGCTGTTTGTTATTTGTTTTTCGATGTTTCCTTTACAAAAGCTGTGCCACTACTGTTTGAATGCAACAGGAATGAGGAAAGTCGGCCGGCGCCAGGCTCCTCTCCTCCTTGCTACAAAGACGGGATGCACAACTGACCCTTATTCCTTTTTTAGCAACTGTTTTTTTCTGGTCTCAGAATTTTCGGTTAGAATCCCTTCACATTATTGTGGTTACCACAAATGTGACAGCTGATTATAGTCGTTGCTCAAGCTTACAAAACCTCGATTTGTTGCTTTTGATTTTAACACGTTAGAAATTTAATCATTCCCTTCAGTGGGTCTAGTGGCCACCGACGTTTCTGCGCTTGAGCAACCTACTTGATCAACCAAGCCGAAGCTCCAAATGTACAAAGTATTGCTGTCGATCGCTGATAACACCATTCAGAATCACATTAGCATATTTCTTGTTGTCTTCATGTATGAAATCACTGGTCGAATTTCTAAGATTATTGACGGTCGGATAGATTTTGGGACAAGTGCTTTCGGACATTTTGCACCACAGAGGCACAGTTCACGATAAAAATGGTTTCTCAGTTTTCCACTCAGGGATACCCAGTGGCCCCCAATGGTAACAGAAGGGACGCTGTCGAACCCAAAAACTCAACAGCCAGGGCATAATAGGTGCTCCATTACTGGATTGATTGGATGTTATGTCAGACGCTCTACATTTGCGTTTGCAACATTCGCACCGCAACCCACACGCTCAGCATGCAATCAGCTGATCGCGGTGTGGTGAGGTGATGCTTTTTTCTTATACTGTTACTCTCTGTAATTCTTNGCTCAAAGGGTTGGAAAAGATGGATTATTTTCGCTGTAATAGTGTTTTTATTAATATATGCTTATGAGAGAATGAGTTTTTAAGAACATTTTCGCCTAACGTGGTCAGCTATTCACACCAACAGATACAGAGTACGGCTCTCGCCTCTTACAGTGATCCGGCACGGCTTAACCCCTTTTCAATACGCAATTGTCACCCGTCACATATACGACCCTTTCTACTCCATCTTTCAATCTTATTCTCGTCGAGCTCCCTTTTAACGACTTTCTTGAGACCTATTATCACTTTGGAAACACCGATTCGTGTGCTTTCTTCGCCTCCATTGCACTAATCTCCACATTCTCTTTCATTTTCCATCATAACCTGGATAAGAGGTCTTTCATGACAATAAAATTAGCACTAGTCTTCTAGTAAGTAGGTATCTTGTCAAGGCATCGGTTGACCGATGATTTTTTACAATAAAGAGTCTCAGTGTTAGCAGACCTAGCTGAAGGGAAAATAAGTTTTCTATTGAGCAGTCATCCCAGAGATCAAGAGCAACAGGTCTAAACCACATCGTCTCGAGGCGCAAGTGACAGCCAGTTTTAACTACTAACTGCATTGCTCCGGCAAGCTGTGATTAGAAGTCTACCACTCATTTTGGAACCAGGCGATCGCTGAGCTCTCCTAATTTCCACGTTGAGCCTGACCTACCACCCTCATCTATTTTGCTCTGCTAGATGCTTGATTCAGAGTACCACTGCCAATCATAAACACCGACACACTTCGTGACCTCCCAGCCCTTCATGAGTGGAGTTCTGTTCCAGTGTGTATCTGAGTAGCTTGGTTTATTCGCTGCTCGTGCCGTCTTCGCTGCGTAGTATTACTCAGATTACACTCATTTTGCGCATGTTCCACCTTTCATCCGAAAGCCTATCATCAGTGTTTTCAAATTTGAATGCTCTAATTGCAAGTCCTGAAAAAAGGGCTTACGCGCCCACCCCGTCCATAAAGGCACAGCCACACACACAAACACACATACACTGATACACATAATGACAGACATATTGACACATGCACTGACGCACCGACACACATACATACTGACACACTGACATACACACACTCACTCACATACACCCTCACACACATTCACACACACTCACTCACTCACAAACACATACTGACACATGCACTGACACAACGACATAACACACTGACATGCACACACATACACACATACGCATCGACATATGTACTCATCGACATAAACGATACACGCACACACACGCAGAAGTACGATAAGGAAAACCCCACCTAGTAGGATGAGGAAGCCCCATATACTAGGATGAACAAAGCTCTAGGTTAATCGGTCGCTGTAACACTTTTACAGAGTTCAAGGAGGCTGGCGAAAGCGAAAAATCTAACCGATTAGGGGACAAGCATAGTTTTAGGATCTTCTGAACTCAATAGATGGAAGCATCCGTGCCCATTCACACTACATTTCGAGTTCAGCCTTTCTTTGTGAGGCGAGATGAGTAAATGGCTAAATTAGGCACACCTGCTCCTCGATGACCTATCTCTCCTACGTTGCTTCCTTCTTCTCTTTCTCTGTCTGCTCCTATCACTATCCTTGTCTTGATCCTTCGCCATCTGAAAAAAGTATTATGAAAAGTTTCTGAAGCATGAACTGCTTGTAACCAACCGTCTGGCTGAGACGCAGAAGTGAAAATGCTACTCATGATGTAGACTCACTATGATAAGAAGGTAGCCAAATCTGAATAAAAACTGTATCGGCAACATACAAAACAAGTTTTATACCCAGTAAGAGTTGAGGCTATACTTGTTTATTGTTATTTTTACAATCCAGGCTCTGCCGCTTGGAATTCCCACAACTCAGCAAAGTGCTCACAAGTTTCCCAACAAAGATGATATCGCACAAATAGGCAGAGGAACAACGGAGAGTGACCGCGTATAACAGGAGATCATTGGGCTTGAACGGAAGCTTTTTGAAGATTACAAAATGGATGCCATCGGTATAAAAGGTTGAACATGAACATGAAATGCTCAGTAGTCTGATTGTCTTCGAAATCTTCTATATTTTCACTTTCTCCATAATGAATTTTGACGTTGTCTATAGTAAGCTCTAATGCGCACCTCTAACACGCTTCATTTCCTCTTCGATGTAGAATCAGTGGCTTTATCATATCTGCTATTCAATCAATGAAGACAAATATTCACCGCAACAGGATGGGAGTCACAAAGGAATCAAAAAGTGCAATGAGTATAGGCTAAAGCATATCTATACAAAAGCTAACACAGTAGAAGATCGTTCCGCTGGAACGACGATAGCTGCAGCCAGAGCTTCGCCCCGGGATGGGGATGGAACCATGGTTGCACCTGCTCCTGGCACCGAACTTCGCTCCAGTTCTCTTGCTCGCCGCTTCGCCCTGAAATACTTCGATGAATGCTCTGAAAACATAGTCGTCTGAGCGCTGTGCTAGCACGCGCGGCTTACATCTCCCGTCTTTTCCCAAATTTTGACCCGAATTTTAGGAGGGCCACCTTGTGAGAAAGAAGGTTGAACATCTCACCAAAAGGGGATTAGTACTGCTGGAAGTATCGGGGGACTTGTACTGGAGAAACGACGGCGTAGATAGAGTCTGCTCAATGAAGGAGGGTGTTTCATATCGGTACCCGGCGGAGTGACGCAGCACGGCCTAAGAAGAATTGACCTTGTCAACACCGAGATACGGCGACTTTCAGGCGTCGATAGCTGTTTATGAATTTAGTACATGTATCCTGAGAAAACTGTGTTCTAGTAGCTAACAGTATTACCACTTCCTTTTTTCCATCTTTGGATTGAGTCGACCGTAGTGAGTTCATAGCCGATGTCGCCAATTTCTTCCTTCACGTGGCGATACCGTTTGATGTGAAAAGTTATTACGCATATGCTTTGTAGGGAAATTCCTGCCCTGATCAGTCGCTGCAAGAGGTGGCGGCAGAAAGTTGCCTCGTCCTCATTGCGCAAAGGTTCACTGGGGGCCCGGATGGATGTACCTTTTACATCTATGAACATGAAGGGGATGTTGGGAGAGGGAAAGCGCATCACTGCGAGAAGGAGACAACGTGCCTGCGCAGTCGTGCCGAGAGCTTCATCGTAGGCGATACGATTAGGGAGGGCTGTGAGTGCGGGGCAAAACCTGAAGGAATAGCTTACCTCTTCCCGTCAGTCATGTGGGGATCGCTTCGGAGTTGCCGATGTAGTTTTTGATTATAGTGCGATATCGCTTGGCGTTCGCATACTTCTGAATCCTCCTCCGAAAGCTGGTTCTTGAATGTGTGGTTCTTGAATGTGTTACCCAGAGTGAGGAGTCCCTTGCTGAGAATCCGTTTGTGGGAGTATGATTATCCGACCGCGGCCGTCTCTGAAATGTGGCAAACCACTTTCATTTGGGGAAACAGCCCAAATCAGATTGGGAAAAATGACTACCCACAGCCCTAAGTAGCGACCCGGAGCCCACCCGGCTTCTGACGCGATCTCGGTGAGAGTGACTCTAGAATTTGAGATGGACACACAGAGAGGTGATTACCGTGACCACCTGTTAATGAGAACGACGATCATCGCCCGTTGTTCGCCGCAAGAGCTGCGCAAGCCGCATTATCTATGCGACTTAACTTTCGTTCGGTCCCCCAAGGGTCTCGGTGGAAACTATCGAATCGCTGGAGTCTGTCGGTGAACCATTCTCGATCACTGATTGGCAACAGGAAAGCTCTGTCGGGAGAATCCTCTCTGCATGGTGAAAAAGCGACGGACGGTGGCCGCTAGATGGTCCCGTGCCTCTAGACGCATATGACGGGGGGGGGGAACGGATGACCACAAAAGGTGGCAGGAGTCTGTTGCTAACCTTGTGCCAGAAGGCGAGAAACAGATGCGGCGTGGCCCAATTCTGGTACTTACCTCCTCCATTGTATCCGTAAGTACTTACGCGGCGCACTTGATGAGGTCGCCATATGCGGTCAAAAGATTGCGTAGCCGACAACAATACGACAGAGATTTCCAGCAGGCGAGATTCGCGCGCTATTGAAAATTGCAACTTGGGGACCAGGAAGCTAGGGAGAAGAGAATAAATAATTAGTTCTATGGATAGGATTTTTCCAACTGGCGAAGGCTACTCGCGAACTGATTTTTTGACCCTCCGGCCCCTGCACGAGTGGAATCCATGTGGAAAAGCTCAACCGGATTGAAAGGCGACGAGCTTTATACAAAAGTAGTAATCATGATTCTGTATTTTTTATTTTATTTTGTTATCATGTTTTGTTTTTTGGCTTTTTTTTGTTTTTTGTTTGAAATTATGCCCACCTCCGGGAAACTTTATGAGTTGAGCAGAATAATACTGAATGCTGCTAGTGGTAGCATTACCGTACACTTCCTGGAGCCGTCAATAATGTGCACTCGATTGAGGTAGGTTGGGTCCGGTGACCGTCTCGTGCGAAGCTTGGGTAATTGAACGTTTATTTAAGTTTACTCTACGATTAGTGACGAGAAGTGTTGGTGAGCACGTCACGTAGAGATATCAAAAAGAGCACCACTATAGCAAAACCATACGAAGTGCCGGTACAAACAACAAATACCGGTAAAAGGAATGTGAAAGCTTCATGGAAGAGTTGAAAGTAAAAAATGTGAACAAATATCAGAAAAATAATGCGCAAGAACAAATAACAAATGACTTTTCAGTGAAGAAGGAGTGAATCAATAACAAGATGAATTATACCGATAACAAAGTCTAGAATGCATAAATACAAAACTTCTTGCAATGCGCAATGTTAAAGTGAGATGAACAGAGGAGGCAAGCGAGTAAGATGAAGCAAAGATGAGAAAAAGGATGCGTCATCCGGTGATGCCCAACATGCGGTCGCCGAATATATCAGTGAAAAATGATCACGGGGCATCGGCATGCGTGCACAGTTTTCCCGCACGATCTCTGATCAATGGAGTTCACTTTCGTGATACTTCCTCTTCGGATTGGCCCAGGCTTGTAATAAAAATCTCTGTTTGATTCGCGTTCTTGCTCAGTTTCTTCGATTCCACGGTAGTATTCATGGATGCGCTCAGGAAGACGGCATATAACCTTACTGTAGTCTAGTGAATAGCAGTGCACGCATGGCCCTCCGGGTCGCCTGCAATTGCTCGTATCGTGTCTGATGTCCAGACAAAGGTCGCAACGGATGCGCTTCAGCCTTCCATTCACAGTAAGGAACTCCGGACAGCAGACACTATAGTGCAAACCTTTGAAGAAACAGAACTAACGTCGGAGAAAAGGGCCCTCGTCTTGCATGGGGTCGTGCTTTTGATCTAACTTTCGGGAACTTTGCACTCCGACTCCCTATGCTCGAGTTCGAGCCTATCTTCTTCCGCGGTGGGTCTTTGTGGGTCAGCTCTGTCGTTATTGTTGTAGTCGACAGCTCCACCGTCAGAATGCTCGGAAACGGCTTCGTCTTCTGTGTGAGGGTTTTTAGTCTTGTCCACTGCTGCCGGGAAGCTGTATAATGCTTTCTCAAGTAAAGTTTGGCGAGTTTTTGTCTCCGCCTCGTCATTACAGATCTGTGCTATCGCATCTCTTGAATTTGCGTCGTCCTCGTCTTCACTATATGTGCATGGCGAATTATTTTTTACCAGCAACTCTGAGAGGTTATTAAATGGCCAAAACTCCCTTCATTAACTCTCAGTGCTGTTACCATTCCTTTTTCGATGGAGTTCAATATTCCTTTAGTATTCGATGAGACGCAAGATAAGAGAAGTACTATAACTGATGTTCTAATCCAGATAATATGCACCAATGTCAAAAGAATAATGCGTAGGATCCAGTGATGTTCGTATTGAAAGAAACTATGGAAAGTGTTCCAAATTCACTTCAACTTGTAGTGCTCACCTTTTTGACTGCAGTGTTTTTCTAAAGGATCGTCGTTGCAGATGCATCAATACTTTAATATACGTCCAATCAATACTTTAATATATGTCCAATATGCGGGATATGGTTCAGTAATGCACGCTTTCCGCTTGTTCTCAGCACTGAAAAGCGAATCGGTCTCGCAGTTCACTTGAATGCAGCAATGAACAAAGAAATCAGGAATATGCACAAACTTTCTTCTTATACTTAGTACCGAATCATTCAAGGCCTGTAACTGTGCTTGAACAAAGCGATGTTTTATCCCAATTGGCTTCTCCATCTTCTTCTTGACTCCTCCTGACGGTGGTTCGGTTGCCCGTGGACGTTGAATATCGATCGATCTTTGGCCGATGCACTAAATGTGACCCCGATTGATTGGTTCGGGACCGTCTCGTGCGCTTGAGTAATCGAACATTCATTTAATTAAAGTCCCTGAAACAATCTCATATCGTACGAATTGCTCCAACGTCTTACCTGGTCACACCGATGCACGGCTCATTCTAAACCCTAGGTACTCCACATAACCTCGAGGCAACCTGGGACTGACACCACCGATTATATTTTCGTTGTCTTCCTGTAGGATACTTTCTTCTAGCCATGGAACCTGACAGTTTCTTCTAGTTAGGAGCCTGGCAGTATTAGACTCCTATCGCGGGCGGGATACTTTACGAAAAAGTCCTTCGCGATGACAAGATATAGTGAACCAACTCACAGATAGAACTCCGTGATTTGTAAACACAAGTGCAGCTGGACAGAAAAAGTTAGCTGACTAAAGTTGATTACAGAGGGGCATCAGGTAGCTGCGCCAACGCGGTGCTTTCCTTGTCTTGTGTCGACTCAAAAGGCGAAGACGTCGCTGAAAATAAAGCCCAGCTGACAGCTGGACATGAACGGACCCAATCGTACCCAGTCAGTCGCGCACAGTTACTTAAAAATAACCTGGCCACTAACTAAACTCCAACAGCCAGGGAGATTCATCTGCTGTTACCAGTAAGCTCACTCGGGAGCAGAGCGTGCTTTATTTTTGTAGAATTGGTAGGTGTTTATTATATATGCTATTCAACCAAGAAGACAAATATTCACCGCAACAGGATAGGAGTTCACAAAGAAAACAAAAAATACAATGAGTATAGACTAAAGCATATCTATACAAATGCTAATACAGAAGAAGATCGGTCCGCTGAAAAGATGATAGTTGTAGCAAGGTCTTCGCCCGGGATGGGGATGGAACCGTGGTTGCCGTCTCCTGGCATCGAACCTTGTCGACTCCTCGCTCCAGTCCTCTTGCTCATCGCTCCGAACTGAAATTCTGCGGTGAACATATGATCGCCTGGAAACATAATCATCTGATCGCCGCGCTAGCACAGTTTGGCTTACACTGTAACGGACGAACATGTTCTTCGTTGTCGTCGTCTTTGGAATGATTTTTCCAAAAGAAACTGAGGAAGGGAACACTGCTTTTGTTTTGAACTCCCGATGTGTCCGGTTGAACCTCGAATGAATGTAAGAAAGTAGTACACGAGTTCATCGTCACTTTTAGGTTACAAACTTGAAGCCTCGAATGGGCTGGAGAAGCAGAAACCAAGCTGTTCCTTCAAGGGTAGTCTTTCCTACTCTAGGGCGAGATAGCGTCAACTGATGCCTCGAATGCGCAGTTCACGATAAAAATGGTTAATTGAACGTCCTCCTGGTATTGCCCAGTGGACCCCAAAGGTAACACAAAGGACGCTGTTGGGACGAGAAGCTCAATAGATAGGGCATAATATGAGCTTCGTTAGCGGATTCGTCGACGTCCACGCTCAACGATCCATGATATGCCAGAGGAGTGTCAAGGCGATACAGGTTGCGCTATTCGTACCAGGACCCACAAATACGCAGTGGCACACATTGTACAGCTGATTTACAGCTGATTTTCGAGAAGACAGCCTTCAAAAAATATCCTAACTTAGCAATTTCTTAACTAGGCGAAAAGCCGAAATAGACTGTAAAAGTTTTCAAGTTCTGAATAGTTCATGCTAACTATAGAATTGTTTGCAGTATGTTATATTTGGAAAGGAAATAAATCCTGGGCAATTTTAAAGGAACACCAGTCAACCAGTAAATTATTCCGTTTACTCAACGAAAAATTTCGGATGACAGATGAGCCAAGGAAGACGAGGACCGACATTCTAAAAACTGTGGGTATTTTTCGTGGTTTTCATGCATGATTCACTGCTGCTCCCCGTAGATTTCATCATCCATGACGTAATCAGGACACGATCGTTCTGCTGTATATGGCAGACTCATAGGCGTCTAGTAATCGTTGTGGAAGTTCTAACGCATGAATTATAATAGTTCATCCGCTTGTTTAGCAACAATGGTAGGACTTGCATAGAGGGGCAACAACTTGCATAAGAAGCCATTTCGCATGATGACAGCATGGCAAGGATTGCGGTTTTGAGGTTCCACTTTTTTTGCAGTGTGATAAAAATGATTAGCAATGAGCAAGAAAAGCGGCTCGAGAGGAAATGCAACATTTCGTTGACAGGTTTTTGACTTTTTTTCATTTGAGCAAGAAGGGGCTTGTGTAGGCGATGGCAAGATAAGTACGTTGGCATCATAAGCTCTTCAAGGCGAGTTCTTCCTTGATCCTCATGACTCACACGTTCGTTGTAAATCTCTCGTTATCAGAATTTTTAAATACCATCACAATGCATATAATAACTGCCGGCTCATTGTGAAACTTCATTTGCGCTTCTCTTCAAATTATTTTGCATATTTCCTCTAGTTCATTCGAAAGCAATATGTTCCATGGCGAATCGTGTACGGATATTTGTCTAGTTCTGAGTAGCTGTAATTCACAAATTAATTTTCCTTGGATTCAGTTGACAGGGTTGAGTAAACATGGTATAGCTGCAAAACGTGCTCTTCCCATGTGCAGGAAGTCTCAGCAATCTTTTCGCTAATGAATTACCGGTCCGACAAACCACACAGCCTATACGAATTTTTTCATACGCATCCTACTTCATCTCCAGGCCTTATACAGTCTAACAGATGCAATCAAGCGATCTGCAGTAATCTCCAACTTCTCTCTTGCTTTAACTCCGACCGCGGCCTAACGTTTCAACGTTATCGTCTTCTTCAGAGACGAAGGTGCCACCGCTCAAGCGGATATAAAATTTGCTGCTACTATTGTCAATAGCGAAACTCTAACTCTCGAAAAACTAAACTAACGCTATTGACGCTACTGTCAGTCGCCTCTGGCGACAGCGGATTGTGTATCCTCATGAGCGGTGGAACCTTGGCCTCTGAAAAGACGATAACTTCAAAACATTGAACCGTTGAATAATAAACTGTTCCTCCTAATCAAGTCGCACGGCACAGGAGTATTGTGATCTGCAGTAAGTCTGTATCACAAGCCGATATCTTTAATCACACCCCGCTATATCTTTGAGGCCGTTGTGCAGTGTAACATATAAATTACATCTTTAGTGGAACGAGAGCAGCGGTGTGCTGTATGTAAAAAGAAGGCGTTCGTATATCAGTCGCGGGGCACGAGAGTTGGTCTGACTGATATTCACTCGAAAGAAAAGTAGTTCCACATGATATCCAAAAAATCATCGCATAATCGGGTTTTATTTTCAGATCAATTCTTCGGCACTATGAAGCTCTTTGCGTTGATTATCTTCACTCCTTTCATTGTGGTTGCCTTTTATCAAATTCCTCTGATAAGAAGTGCATCGAAAAGAGTTAGTTTTTTTTTTTTGAGATCGTACCTTAAAAGCACAATTTACAATAAATGTTGTTTCTGCGATTTTTTCGTAGGAAGACCCCCAAAGAGGGCACAAGGAGCGCTGTCGGGTTGAAAACCAAACTAGATAGGTCATTAAGAAAGCCCCAAATCTGTTCAACTGACGTACACACGAAAAGGAGGACGAGCTCTCACAGTATTGTGAGGACTGTAGTGGTTGCACGTTCCGCATCGGGACGCACGCGTTGCACGCAGGCAGCTTGCTGTAGCCAGTTATGCTGTAGCTCCCTTATTTGGTCTGCTCGTTTACGTACCCCTTCTCTGCAGCTTGCCGTCACGCTCTCGTCCAACTCCTCATTTTACTACTTTTTTTGCCTTGCATTTCTCTGAAAGCGCCGGTTTACGCGCATTCTTCGGCTATTTCGCACCAAACCGGGCTACCGCTTCTATATTGGTCAAAAACTAGCTATCCCGAGATTATTCAAAAGTGCGCCTTCAAAGCTGACTTTTTCATTTTAGGCTCGAATGACCAATACCTTGGTTTAGGCTTGAATTATTAACATACAAGCCAGAAGCTCTTTTGTGAGCGAACTGAGTTTGTGAGTTTGTGTTGTTGTTTTTCATCATACACACATGATCCACGGTTCGAATCCCGAACAGATCCTCGCTCAGGCCAACTATACGTTCCATGCCTTCAAGATAGGGTAAATGGTACCAGACCTGTCTGACTTGAATATCGGCTGACCACTGCATCTCACTGTATGAGCTGCAGAGGAATTTGAAAGGTCACTACGATTCTGAATGGAAATCGAAGGCCAAGGCAAATCCTAAAGTCGCAATTTATTTAAGTCAAGGAGTCTTAATTACTTCAATTCTTCTGCTTACTTTGATGGGTTTAAATTTCCTGAATGCAATCCGGTTCCTTTCTGTCCCTGCGCAAAATATTATGATGTCAATGTAGTAAAGATCAACAAATAAACGTCATTAGATTAGAGTGGAAACAGTACAACTTCCAAGCTTCTGAGCAAAAGTCCGAATGTTAGTATTTGATCCAACATCAATCTAAAAGAATTTTTCGATAGCTGATCATCCCATTTCTATAGCCAAACGATAAAACTAGCGATCTACAAAAGCTGTACATTTTCCAGGACGAGGATATATTCCGGATTTTAAAAAGGAGAAATCATGACGACTCCTCTGAAGCTCGAAACCATCGAAACCCATCAGGTGAAGGTGTTGTGAGTCAAAAGGTAAAGTCCACATTCAGTACGCTTTCCAAAAAAAGTATGGGCGACAGTTCGATCTTAACTTTGGGAATGGGTACATTGGTGCGTCCGTAGATGAACATGGAAAACCACGCTGTGAAATCCATGAAGGTTTAGACGACTCTGGCGCTTATCATCAAGACATAGAGCTTCTGCACAGAGCAGCGACAAATCCCAGAGTTGAAGCTGCTCATAAGAACATCGACTTGATATTTATGAAAAAATCATGGAGGTTTTTATTTGCCGCGTGTATCTCCGGACGCACCAATATTCCGTCCCCATTCACTTGGAATCCATGAAGCTACTCGTTTTCTTATTTCGTGAGCTGCCCTCAATCATCCGAAGTTTATCGCTCAGGAAGTCACTTGTGCCATTTTCCACTGCTATCTGTATTTGTTCTTTTTCTTCTTATGAAAATCAGTCTGGAGGCACGAAAACTTCGTTCATGAAGCGGAAATTGTACGCTCGTCTTGCTTTCATTCAACTCCCTAATTGTGTGGTCAATCTGACATGCCGGTGCGCGTCCACTCATACATTGCCCGCATTCAAGGCAATATCAAGTTCGCAATCGGCTTCTATCATGTTCTCGGCCATCACAGTTTTACCTTACCGGCCCTCAAAACACGCATATTTTAATATTGTGCCGTCCAATAAAACAACCCAAGTGAGGACGCACAAGTTGAATCACCAGACAGCTTCAGATATCAGAGAATGCACTCTTCACAGCTTCTTAGTGAAACAAAAAGAATCAGGCACGAGCGCTGTTGCCATCCTCGATTTTTCTGGAAACGTCTAATTCTGCATTTTTCGGTCAGCCATAAAGTCTAATTCTGCATTTTTCGGTCAGCCGTATCACAAGAAAATAAAGGTTTCGTTGGAATTTTTGCTGGAACGCAGGTAGAATCGGAGACTCTTTGCACTATGTGATGCCTGTAACTGACAAAAACTTTAGAAACTCTACCTAAAGGTGCTGTTTGTGTGAAGGTAATGCAGGCAATTGCAGCAGTGTTCTATTAGAACCTTCTGAATCCTTCAATTCCAAAGACCACTTCAATTTGCTAAGCCGTGCAGTAAGAAAAACAGCAGAGCACCTTGCTCCTTCTTAAGGCTTCACCTCTTTACTACCGAATGATTAAATGGGCATCGCGAAGCTTTGAGTACAACGTTGATATTTAGATAGTCAGTTATGAAGACTTGGTGTACGCAGCAAAAGTCACCATCGGCACTTCACCGCAAGAGTTCTCAGTTGCACTGGCTTTGAGTGCGCCAACACTGTGGGTACCACACCCACACTGCAGTGGGTAAGTCAGGCATAGACTTAAGCGAAGTGGCAGAGAATAATGTCGCAATTTTGGCGATTCTGCCCTCGTCTTTTCTGCTGATTGTTGTTTTTTGAGGCATACATGACTGATCCGTATACCCGAGTGGGTGGAAACGGCGTGTTTCCCAAGCTCATTCTAACCAGTTGTATTTATATGTTAGCCAGCAGGAAGGAACTTCCCTCCTGTTCTTCGCTGAAAATCTGCTCACTTTCATCGAATAAATCTATAAAATTACTTAGTAGAACCTTGCTCCGTTTTAAGCCATAGACAAACCATAATATGTAGTTCTTTCCAGGCGCTATTGTGATAAGAGGAGGAAATTCATGTTCAACGAGTCCAGCAGCTTCGAAAGGCTCCATACTGATACAACCTATGATCTCGACAGTACAGCCGGCAGTGCCAAAGTTATACTTGGCAGAGATACTGTAGGCGTGAGTAGCACAAAGTTGAAGTTATTACGGATGGATTTTCAAGGTCCATATGATCAAATAGGTCCGCCTCTTGCGGGAACGTATGTGAAAGCTGTGCTCGCAAGTTTTTCTTCAATTAAAGGCACAGTTCACGATAATTCAATAAGCGGGAACGTCAATGACCTTCCCGTCTCTCGATCAATGTCACGTCATCACGTCAGACGAGTCTCGAGACATTGCAGATTGCAACTATCCGTTCTAGGATCCACACGCAGCCAGCTGGTTGCCGAGTGATGAGGCGATGTTTTTCTCCCAATCTTTTATCCTCTGTTATTCTATTTGCTGCCGCGATCCCTTATTTATTTTCCTACTCCTAGAGGCTGAAAAAGGTGAACTAATTTTGCTGTTACTAGGATTTTTTGTTTACGTATGCTTATAGTTGAATGAATTTTTGCTTACCGTAGGCTGTTATTTGCACCAGGACCCACTCGTACGCTGTGAGAAACATTGTATAGCTCGTCCAAACGCCCACTCTTCTTCGTTGTTCTGGTCTCATTCTCGTCCAGCCCCCATTTTAACGGTTTTTCGAAGCCTTTTTTCACTTTGGATACGCCGATTCATGCGGTTACTTCGCATTTATCGCACTATTTCCAGTCTTGTCTTTCATTTTTCATCATTATCTGGATTACCAAAATTATAGTGAACTGTGCCTTTAACCGCGCTGTGAAAGGAGGAACGATAGTGAACACAACACAGTTGTGAGGATTTGTACGATGCCCACCTCTCCTTTCTCAACATTTTACTCGAACCCCGATACACCTACGTATGTTGCCGATGGAAAAGCAAAGAGGAAACAATTGTTTCGTTCCAGTTGGGTGGCTCCAACGATAGGCGTCTAGTCATCAAAAATTTGACATTTGGCCTTGCCACTGATCTCCAGCCGTTCTTCTCACAGGTGTTGCTCAGCCCTTCGACTCCATTTTATGTCATATCATGGTAGACGACAATTCAGGAGCCATTTGATGGGGTCCTCGGACTGGCGTTTGCAGAGCTTCTTACAGACGTCAATCCCCCAATTATGGAGGCGTTCGATCAAGGTGCGTACACATCAGAAATCAACGGTACAATTTTTATTCGGATAGGTGCCCTTCCAAATTAATATGCTCATGCGCTAACCATGAGTATGCTGACACAGAAAAGCATGGCGAATCAGTCGAGTTTGCGAGACTGCTTCCCTAGCCACCTATTTTCAAGCTTGATTTATGTGCCACTCTCTTTTACCGATGGTGAGAAAAGTAATAAAATGTGTTACAAGTAACAAAATCAAGTAGAGTGTGCAATAAAGTCTAACCACCTAGCAGCGATACTTTGGCCTGGTTGCAAATGTATTCAACAAACTTTCATTAGAAAAACATGGATATCGAGGTGCTACAACTGTTTAGTAGGGTGTTAGCATTTGAGAAGTTTGAGAGTTCTCAAAACGATCTCGTTACGAAGAGGAATTTTTCAGTGCTCGGATTTATTGAGTACCGAGACCCGTGTGAGAGTGTCTTTGCCTTCTCAATGGCTTTCAAAGGATAAGTGTAAGAGGTAAAAAGCATGACCCCTGGAAAGCGCTACACGTCCTATGCAAGGAAGAAGTTTTGCTTATAATTCGCTTTCCTTGTGAGACTCTTGCTTCGCTCAAAGGCCGTCAGCAAGAACATCAAGCCGAAACAAATGTGCTCTGTAATTCTAGCCTCTCCGACTTGGATGATCTTTTTAGGCATACATTGCAGTATTTGTAGATATATTTCATTCCTTCTGAAAACCTTGCCTTTTTCAAATGAAATGTAATAAGTTGAATACTCTCAAGCGTCATCTTATTTGCAGAATTTGATCTATTTCACTTCATTTGGATTATTTCATCCGACATTCTCTTTCAGGAGTGATTGAGGAGCCTTTTTTCACTTTGTGGGTGGCACCCCATGAAGTGAATGGAAGCAAAGTCGGAGGTGCAATCACATATGGTGGTATGGATACCGTAAATTGCGGACCAATAATCGGCTACGCTGCAGTAAATGAGTCTATAACGTATGGATTCAAGGTAATTCAGCAGTTTTTCAATTTTTCTTATGTNTGCATCCACAAAATTTTTTAGAAAGCATCAACGTATAAAGGCCGACCCCGGAGAGCACGAGGACGGGGTTGAGTCCAACCCAAAACTTGAGTTTTCCCTTTGACTCGCATCCCTCTAGAAGTTTGCTATACCTTGTTGAAATGAATGTTTGAAAGTTTGAACGTACTAAAAAGGTATCGAGGAAGGTGGGGTTTGAGTGGGAGTGAGGGTAGCTCATTGTTCTGAATCCAAGTGGGAATGAATTCTGGGTAGGAATCTATATTATGTAGCGAATTTATTACATGTGTGTCTAAGTTTCTCCACAGGATCGCTGCATCCAAGAGCTTCAGTGAAGCTGTTTTTTCGTTTCTCCTCACGTCACTCTAATACTACCATTTCTCTGAAGATTTGTTCAGGTGGAATCAGTATCTATGGAGAAATTTGTGCGCGATGAAACACATCCTGCTTTCTCGGAACTGGTCCCGTGGATTGAGGGGCCAGAATATGTTGTCGAAATACTGGCCAAACTTGCTGGAGCAAAGGTTTCTTATTTACTTTTTACGCACAATATCTTACCTCCATTCATCGTAGATGCATCATACGTTTAACGATAGCCTCTTTTAATATTCCTACGAGACGTTTCTTTATTTCTTTATATTCAATGGCACATCAAAATCTTCTCGAGTGTAAACAGCCTACGATTAGACACGAAGAAGGCAGTGCTTTTCGGATTTTCTTGTCATTTCCCACTTTTGATTTTGTTATTTTTTAATCAAATTTTGTTTTCAGTACAACGATGATGAGGAAAAATATGAGATACCGTGCCACTCTAAGCCTCCGGCGATCCGATTTATGATAGGGAACAACGAATACTCTGTGAACTATACGAATTATATCATACAGGTATCCGTGAAGTAATTTTTCTTCTATTAAAAGCTCTTCTGACCGGTAATCGTCGTGCTATATCTGTTCATTTGAAAGCGTAAGTGAAAGGCGGGTATGCGCTTCAGGATTGGTCAATTTTGATTTTTTCGTGATACCATTTTCAATCTTCAGTAAACATAGTAATTCTGTGATTAGGTGTAAGAGTAGTGGAGGTTAGTAGGATCAGCCGACTCTACTACGGCTCATCAGTAAACTTAGAGCTCTAGCGGTAACGATATATAATGCATACAAATAAGAAGAGCTATGATAATGGGCATCTGACAATGATGTTATCATCAGTCGACAACACTACTAACCAGTAAGTAGTACCTTTCGTAGTTTCGGTTGACCAAGCGAGTACTTCAGTTGCAGAACCCTGGTAGGCCCGATAAAGAGGGNATCGATACTATTAAGATCAATAACAGCAGGTTGAGCTTTTGTGAGTGAGAAGCGTATTCGCCCCGAGTTTACGGGTGTTGGGAGACTCCCCTGAAAAAATGGTGTAGTGATGAATCATTCATTCCGAAAAGGGAAACTGAGGGTCAATCGCGCATTCCGACTACATACATAGATACCACAAAAGGGGAACTTGGTGTTATCGATGCCCCACTCCATGATATATCCTGATTGATTGCGGCTTGTAAGCGCAGTTTGAGAAAGGCGACGTATTCGTAATCGTCACGACCGCGGTCGAGTTTCCCAAACATGAAATTGTTATATAAAAATGACTCTGAAAGGATTTCTGCTAAATACCTTACAGATCGAAGAAGGCAAATGTGTTTTTGCTCTGAAGCCAACGTTTGAAAGGCGTTGGACGATGGGACTTCCATTCATTCGTCAATATTGTCATGCCTACGATATCGATGGCGAACGAATAGGATTTGCAACACCGCTCACGAACTCACCGGATCATTCAAGCACGTTAGTGAAATAGAATTATGTACTTCATGATTTCGGGGAATTCTCAAAGGTTTTGAACATGTGAATATGAACAGAATCGATACAGAGTTTTGTGAGTAGAACATTGTCCGGATGCGGAAAATTCGTAAATTTATTTCGTGACATGAATTTGCTCTGAGAACTTTTTGAAGAGATTCTTCTCAGACCCAATTTAAAAAGGTATGTCCAGTAAGAGGAGGTAAGCGGATCAGGCTTCACCTGTATCACCTGTTGTACAAGTATTCACTGATTTTCATGAGCATGAGCCAGCCAGATTCCATTCGTAACCGAGCCGCAGTGGTCCAGTAGATCGTACCGCTTGAGGGACACAAGACATAGTATTCCTTTTGTTGGGAGCTTCCGTAGAGAAGTCTGGCAATTGCACTGGACGCCATTCTGGTGTTCGTGTGAGGTCTCGGGTGATGCAGTCAGTAACCACCCTGGTCCAACAGTCATGGAGATATCGCATGATGTGTTCGGCACACCTGATTTTTGATGTTTTCGTAGATAAGGCAATGTCATTTTAATTTGGCGAAGTCTCATTGAAATCTCGGGTACAAAGAAAAATCTCATTCTAGCACTGATCTGCTGTTTCCTAGGGAATTGGCTTTCACACACCCTACAAACTTCCAAAACGAGATTGAACTTAACGCCATAGCCGACATTGACAAAATTGAACAACACCAACATTTCCGTCCGTAATATCGGAGACTCGAAAACAGTTCCTTGTTTATGCTTTGTGATGCTGCTTTTGTGTACGTCTTTAAGTGCTTTGAGCCCCTTCGGTGGAAAATTCCAATTGCGAAGTAGGGCATGGGAGCCAATAAGTTCCTATATCCGGATTACTTTCTAATGCCATTCGAGGATTCGGAATATTTTGCTTCTTCAAATACATGGTTTCCCAACATGTGTGGAGAAAAATTCGTACCATCATTTGCGTTCCCAATCCCCAGTTAAATTCAGCACAAAGCGCATTCTACTGAGATCAGTTGTCGCTGAAAATTTTAGCTCCTCGCAACACTCAATTAACCACAATAATTGGCTAGTACAGTGGTAACGTGTATACGCCATAGTCCACGTTTGTTGTAACATTGCAGAGCAGGTAAAAAATTCAGCACAGTTGCAGCCATCGAAAAGCTTTACATTGCCAGTTGAGAACTATTTCGATATCATTAAAATCCATTCCTGTAATTTAGGTCAGCTATAACTACAACCCGTTCACCGCAGACTCTCTCAACCACGCCTGTATTTGGGTCTCTGCATTGTTCACTGCTCCTAGTATTAGCGCTTGAACATATAATTATTCTTTAATTTTAGGCCTGTGTCGAATCCTACACAATCTTCTGAGGGCTTCACGACTACTGCTCAAAACAACTCAGTGATTCCAATGTTTGCTATGTGGATCTTTTTATTTGTATATATGTTACCCTTATTGTAGTTCCAGTTGAGTCTCAGAGAGAGAGAGTCCTGTAATAAATCTAAACCTAATAAGGAGTCATTTGTATCGCATAAACTCTTTACGTTACATCGGTTCAGCTCGATAATTCATCAAGTAAAGGCAAAGACTCACCGGCAAAAGGTTTCCCAGTGTCGGCTTGAGCTCGAGCTCGTAAAAGAGAAGACGTGCCGATCGCTCAAGGAGTATTCATGTTCGGTAGATTGGTCAAGCATTGATCCATGTTGAATACTCCCAAGTTTACTCAGTTGCACATAACTGAGCTAAACTCCGCTAACTATAGTAAAAATTGCCAATGCAACTACGGTGGCGCAATGTCAAGGGGAATAGGGAGCGACATGTTTCAGCTAGCAAAGGTTGATAGTACAACTATCCTTGACGGAGCATCAGGGTGGCCCGATCTAAAAAAAATTCTAGCCCTATCCAGAAGCGTTCTGAAGAAGGACAAAAAGTAAGCAGAAGCTAGCGCAGGTAAAGCAGAGAGGGCATGAAAACTGGCGTGGATGAAATGCAAAATCGACAATACTATTCAGAAGCTCGAAATTGGCACAACTCATTCGATGTTTCACTTCCTCTCACTATATAGCGTTCACGTAAAATTCACGCGATGGGAATGCTGTTCGATACATCGACTTATAGTTATTTGTTATATGTACAATTGAGTGATTATTCAAAGCTCCGTCCCTTCAGACCCAAGTTCCATTCATCAAACTATAAGGAACTTGTATAGATTCGACGAGAATATATAAAATAGCTGGAAATAAAGCGATCGTTAGAGGGGAAATGCTTTCAACCAGGGTCGAGGTTGAGATGACGTTCTGCCTGGAAAAGGACGAATGAAGTTCCCTTGAAATCTGGAAAAGCACGACTTTGGAATGGGCGATGCACTCGAGTTCCATCTCAATTGCTATGTAAATGTGCACACGATATCGCTTGTGCAAGCTAATAAGCCACCGAGAAAAAGCCGTAGACACTTTCCGAAGTGTGCCACACACTCGACTTCAACAAATGCATTGCGAACTTGATTGAATCTTTGTGAGGTTCCTATCAAATTTTCACCTGCGAAATAACTGAAAGTACTGTCGATGAGATCAAAATGGCTGTCTAACTTGATGAAATCAATATTCGAGGCGAGTTTCTGGCACACGCTCCACATGTTTTCGCGAAGATCGAAAAGACAGAGATGAAATTGCTCTAACATCGAGGACTACACTCAATATAGTGCAGGAATATAGCAACGTACCTCGATTGCGAGCGAGCGCTTCTTCCGTGGTGTGGCTCTAAATGTCGCTAGGCTGCATATACTATTATGAAGACGATCCATTTCTTCCCTTTCTGTTTTCAACAACAAGGTCGGTATATATTTCTGTGCTCTCTATGACAGAGAAGAAACGATAGATATACTCATTTGCAGGATTGAGGAACTGTGTCTTAACTGCGAAAGGATTTGCATATCGTTGAGAGATACTCAACGATATGCAAATCCTCTCGCAGTTAAGACACAGTTTTGCTCCCACTTCTCTTTTTCTTTTTTGGCTTATCCGCCTGCGTAATTGATATCGTTTGCGCCGTGTGCACATCCAATTAGCAATTGAGATCGAGCCTGAGTGCATGGCCCAATCCAGAATCGTGCTTTTCCAAAACTTCCCAAGACCTCCTTGTAGAGTTTGACGAGCATAGTCCGAAGGCGCCTTCAGCTTCCGGATTACTGCACTCCGAACCGCCTTGCGCGGATTGCACCGTTGCATTTTCTTGTTTTAATTTCTGGAACGTTTCAGCACTGAAACGTTCTATTTTTGAAGCCGCTGAATATCGTAACAAATTTTCAACTGATAGATATTCTTCGTTCGAGTCTTGAGATGTCATCCTAGCTCTGTCTAGAAAAGGGCGAATAGACAGCTTTTGTCCCATATTACAAGTCCAACTCATGTAATCCTAGATCAGTGAAAGGCAGGGGTGGCCACAATGAGTACAAAACTTTTTTTCAGAGTATAGACGAGTTTCTAGACAATAGGAAAGTCAGCGCATTATTAGGAATCCGGACTTTTGTTTTGTTGTTACGACTCAATTTGCTTACCGACTGCGCCAGCAGGACACATCAGGTGTATAGCTGTGTCGGTTGTAGCATTCTAAGGTGGCGGCTTTGGAATGGGAGTCCCTTCCCAGAATCATTCAGCAGTAGATAAGGAAAGCAGATTTGGGATCAGCGTTCCGAGATTGATACAGTCGTAGACTTGAAGAATGGCGATGCTTTTTCGGACCTTTTCGATGGCTTGCCGTGACCGTCGACGATTAACTCCATGCCCTTCTCAGCTGAGGAACTTGGTTTCTTCACATTCAGACGAAGTCCATTCTCCGCCAGCACTTTCTGCCATTTCTGGAGCTTGTCCTGTAGTTCTTCCTTGCTCTCCCCTATCTAAGCGATGACATCAGCGTAGACGATATTCTTCAGTGGTCCATCCATGAGTTCTTCTGTGATGACGTCCATCGTGAGCAGGATGAGGAACGGGCTCAGAGCTGATCCTGGTGTACATCAGCGGCGACATCTATTGCTTCGGTTTGCCCGTGTGGAGTGCGTACTGTTATCATGAAACCATCGCACATGTCCATGACCAGGGAGATGAGGTGTTTTGGGACGTTTCGTTTCCGGAGCGCTCTCCAGAGGACTTGTCACGAGAGACGGTCGAATCCTTCTCCAGATCGAAAAAGGCTCGGTAGCAGGGTCTACGCTTTTCTCGACACTTCTTCATCACTTGCCTACTTATGAAGATGGCATCCGTTGTAGACCTCTCAGGTC